GATTTTGCTGGATTTCGGGCTTTTGCTGGATTCCATCGGGCTTTTGCTGGATCGGGCTTTGCTGGATTTTCGGGCTTTTGCTGGATTTCGGGCTTTTGCTGGATTCCCGTCGGGCTTTGCTGGATTCCCGTCGGGCTTTTGCTGGATTTCGGGCTTTTGCTGGATTTCGGGCTTTTGCTGGATTTCGGGCTTTGCTGGATTCCCATCGGGCTTTTGCTGGATTCCCATCGGGCTTTTGCTGGATTCCCGTCGGGCTTTTGCTGGGAGGCTTTTGCTGGATTCCCGTCGGGCTTTTGCTGGATTCCCATCGGGCTTTTGCTGGATTCCCATCGGGCTTTTGCTGGATTCCCATCGGGCTTTTGCTGGATTCCCCTCGGGCTTTTGCTGGATTCCCATCGGGCTTTGCTGGATTTTTGCTGGAGCTTTTGCTGATTCCCATTTGCTGGATTTCGGGCTTTTGCTGGAATTTCGGGCTTTTGGATTCCCATCGGGTTTTTGCTGGATTCCCATCGGGTTTTTGCTGGATTCCCGTCGGGCTTTTGCTGGATTCCCATCGCTGGATCGGGCTTTTGCTGGATTCCCATCGCTTTTGCTGGATTCCCATCGGGCTTTTGCTGGATTCCATCGGGCTTTGCTGGGGTTTTTGCTGGATTTCGGGCTTTTGCTGGATTCCCATCGGGCTTTTGCTGGGGCTTTTGCTGGATTTCGGGCTTTGCTGGCACTGGATCGGGCTTTTGCTGGATTCCCATCGGGTTTTTGCTGGATTCCCGTCGATGCAACGACTGGGTAGAGAACCATCCGTGAGCTATGGCGCCTGCCCATGTTCGGGATCCTGTTCCTGCGCCGGCCATTACGCAAAATTGAATATTGCGAAAAAAAACAATACGACACAAATAACAAAATCTTACTTATTATTATTACTGCACTGTTATGGACTATCTAGAGAAATGTGGAGTCTATGCAAGGAAAGCAGTCTCTTACAGACCATCAGGTGACAAATACGGTCATCGGAAAATGGCAAAAGACGCTTATGCAGGAAAAGAGATAGTAGCACTGCAAAGGGAGGCGTGCAGTCTTGGCCCCGCCCATGAGCGTTGGTGCACGCCCGCACTGCACCTGCACGCCCGTGAAAATGGCCGCTCTGGCAACCTCATGCCCGGGATTTTAGGCCGCGTGCGCGCAACGAAGTACCCGGATGAGAGGAGTTTATCTTTTTTCACGTCACGGAACTTGGTCAGTAATTTCTGTGATCTCATTATTCTTTCTCCTTCATTTCTTGTGTTGCGAGCCGTCTTATATCTAAGGATCAATAAACTGCAAAGGTTCAACTATTCCATATCATTCTGCCTTTTTTGGTATACAGAGAAGAAAAGAAAAACTACGAGAACAGCCAAAATAATCACTCAAACTAAAATAAGAATAAAAAGCCAAGCAGGCATTACTTACATGTTATTCTACCACAAGCACATATAACGTCAATCACTAAGGCCGAAACAAGCACTCCAGCCGCCGAGAACCGAGGGCGCGAGCAGCGAGAGTGGAGTCCGAGAGCGGAGTGGACCGGCCTGTCGCAGCAGCACACCGCGGTCGAGGGGAATTCATTACATCTGGGGCGATTTCCACGAAAGGTCACAGGCACTGGAATCTGATTTCGTCTCTGATCCTTGCGGAACTTTCCTGAACACCTGATTTTTGGCCTATGACTCGGCCGATGTCGACGTCAGGTCTGGAGGCGTCGCGCACTCGGAAGGACCGTCTCTCCACTGTCCTTACGAGACGGCGACAACAACAATGCTATTTTACCGTCGTGGATGACAATTTCGCATCAGTAATAATATGGAAGTCATTCATGGCACTTTTTTGCTTATTGCCAAGCGTTGATCAGCTGTTCCGGTCACGGAGGAAACAGCCCAATCAACGTTTTCTCGGAGACAAATACAAATGGCGCCGCTCGCCTTCTCAGCTGATGCACTGGCAACACGTGTAGAGGTGCCACGTAGGAAAGATATTAAATAGGTAATATTTTAGTAATTTTTGAGGTTCATTAAAATGATGGTCTTATTTATTGCTACATTAAATTATTATTACAGGGACTTTCAGATGTGAATATTTGCCCGATTTAAGTATGAACTTTGACATGTGACGCTGCCATTCAAAGACGAAATCGCTGAGGTCTTCAAAACGAGACACGGCGATTTGGGTCAAAGACTGTTTCTAAATCAGTCCTTAAATTTGTCAAAAAGCTATTGTAAATAATATGTGACTCTCTCCCTCTCGGCTTGATGGCGTCTTCCTCACCCCCTCCCCCTCCCCCTCCCCCCCTCAAACAAACCCTTTCTATTCTCATTATTCCTTTCTTTTTTTTGTTTATTTCTTTGTTTCCCTCTTTCTTTGCTGCAGTGTTGACGCGTGCCTGTTATGTAACCGATGTAAAGTTTGAATATAAAAGAACATAACACTGAAGCATATTTTACTTTTGGCTTTCATGACTGAGGGACAT